TATACATAAAATTCACTTAATGTTTTTGTATGTCAACTCATACATAAAATTCACTTAATGTATAACATAGTTAGTAAAATATGGTACGAGAAAGTTACGTATAAAATACTTACGGGTATTATACTTCGTCTCTTAGGTAATGCTACGTTTAATAGTACATTAATAGTAATAAATATATAAAAACTAATTACTTTTATAAATAAATCAATATGTAAAAATAGTAAATTTAATAATACATAAAATTCACTTAAGTATAGCATAGTTAGTAAAATATGGTATGAGAAAGTTACGTAAAATACTTAAGGATATTATACTTCGTCTCTTAGGTAATGTTACATTTAATAGTACGTTAATAGTTATAAATATATAAAACTAATTACTTTTATAAATAAATCAATATGTAAAAATAGTAAAGTTAATACTTCATTTCATTAAATACGGATATTAAACGTTTGGAGTCGTAGGACATATGTTCTTCTCAATAACCAACAATTTCATAATACATAACTATAGTTCATGGTTTAAGGTTAGTGCATAGGGTATACGATAGTGGACTCGTGGTTTAGAGTTTGGAGTAATAGGGCATATGTCCTTCTCAATAACCGAATATAAAATTGACTCAACTTACATTCTTCACATAGCATACGTTGTAGCTTATCCAACAATTTCATAACTATTAACTATAGTATAGGGTATAGCCGTATAGGGTCATGGTTTAGAGTTCATTGTTTGCATGTTTGGGTTATGGAATTATGGTTAAGGGTTGAGGTTAGTTTTAGGGTTAATTATTTAATGTTGTGATTTAGGATAATGTATGGTTGATGGTTAAGGTTAGTTTTAGGTTTCAGATTTAAAATGGTGTTATAGGGTTAGGGTTTAGGGTTTAGGGTTTAGGGTTAGGATTTCTTCATGGTTATGCTTTGTGATAGATATTTTGTTTTTTTATAGTTTATTAATTAATTTGATTTTAACAATTAATTTAACTTGTGAATTTACATCTTGAATATGAATATGATACATCTTAATTTGATTTTATAAACCCCAAATATTTGAGGAAACAATCATTTTTAACCCCCCAAAATTTGGTCCAAAGTTCCCTCCTAATCACGGTAATTAATTTACCTGTTTTTAGTTTTCATTTCCCGTGATTAATTATTAGTCACAGTTAATTCCCGTAAATAATCTGTCAATTTACCTTTTACAAAATATTCTTCCAAAATTTTAGGAGGGAGAATTTCCTTTCACTCAAAAATTTGATTTGGCTCCAAAAATTGCTTTGCTCCAAAAATTTGCTTTGTCTAAAAAAATCCCGCCAACTCTTGCGTTGAACTTTTTCCTTTCACTCAAAAATTTGATTTGACCCCCACCATGTCGAGCTCTTTTTCCTTTTTGTGATCATTCATCCCTCTCTCCTGTTGAACTTTTTCTTCCCCATGCTTTCTCTGCTCCCATTCTCCTCTGTGACAATCCATTCTCTTCTTCTCCTATTTTTTTCCATGAGATCAAAACAAGGCAAAGTAAAGGGCTCTGAAAGTAGATGGAATTGGAAGGAGAGGAGCATGCTCCACTGCCAATCTATCTTCCTCGCCTCAACAATAATCGAAGCCGTGAGATTCGGATGGACTCTGCTCTCTACTGGGAATTGCTTAGTGAGCTATCTGATGGATCGATCTAGATTGAGGATGGCGGCTTCGAAGTGGGCTGTGGTTTGATTCTCTGTTGGGGATTACTTGGTGAGCTATCTGATGAATCGATCGAGATTTGGAATGACGGCTTCGAAGCGCGCCATAGTTGGATTCTATGTGCTTCTCTAGTAAATTATCGAAGCTAAGGTCAGACCCCAAATTTGTGTCTTTTTTGTTTAACTAATTAGGAGGACTTGCTTGGGATGATTCGTTAACCCATTGATAGTACTGTTTATTTCTCAGCCTTTGGCAAGATGAACTTGGGATAATATGCAGCTGCAGGTAGCTCTTCAGCAAGCAATGGACTAGGTGATTTTTCCATTTTTCAGCCATTTGTGATGAATAATAGTTGATCCTTATGTGTGATGTCATTTCTCAATTCCCTACTCTGAACGAAGGGTGTGGATTGAAATTGAGATTTGTCGAGAAGGTTTTGTTCATGTAGCGATCTTTCCCATATGAATCCATTCTCCCCATTTGAGGCCTACTGTGAATCTTGAAATGAGAATATGAATATACATTTGGTTATATGCTGTGGTTTTTGAAGATGAGATTTCTCAATTTGCCGATTTGAACTAACAGAAGGGTATGATTAAATTTTAGATTCATTGCCAAGGGTGGGGATAGCACAATTTGATTGGCAGTTTGATTAATTACCGCAAGACGATAATTTTTGGGTTTCCCAATTCGATTGCCACTTTGGAAAAACTACATTTTTAACAGTCTTTTGAGTCACCTTTTCATACAAGTTCAGGGTTCTTTACCTAAGAATTTCTATTATGTGACGGAAGTATCTGAACTCATAGTAATACGTATTAATTTATGACGAACTAGCAAGAACCAAAGGGCATTATTGCAGCTGAAGAGCGAAGAGTTCAGATCAAGCATTCACTCCCTTTTCCCTGTCAGTTTTTGAGTTATACTACATGAGAAGGATTGAGCTAGAATTGACATATTAGTTGATGATTCACTTAGGTCATGTTAGCAGGATGGTTTATCATGAATCCCTTATTGATTGCCTCGATTCAAAGTTCTCCTGGTAAATTCAGATTGTGATCTTAATTTTGTTTTCATACTGAAAATTGGTTATTTCAAATCAGCATTCAATGTCATAAAAACCCCGTTTGAAAAGAGGCCTTGAAGTACTTGCAAGTAATTGTTGAGATAGCTTGCTATAATTCTTAGCATCTGTAATTTGTAAAGCAAATTTATTGTACGTTTTCCCATTCTTTACTAAAAGACATTTCATCTCTTTCTCCATCAGAAAGGTAAACACCCTTGCTTAGACTGTCAAATTAGCGTTATGGTTCAATGGTTTGATAACTGTTCTTTTGCATGACAAGTAAAAAACTCTTATTTCTTACATGATGTGTAGATTTAATTGCTCATTCAAATATATTCCTTTTGGATGGCATTTTCCCCAGTTAGATCACTTTCCCTTGGAAAAGCTAAACTAGCTATATAGCTGTTGTGGACAACTGACAATAGAGAGACTCAAAGATGTTGATTCAAATTTCTCGGCTGTCATTTTGAATGTGCTGCAATAGAGTTTTTCTCAATGAAGACTGATAAATCAAAATCATTATTTCTATTTTTACCAACGAAACCACAATATTATATTTTTTTCTATCAACAATTAAAACCTCTTATGTGGATTATTGATTAATTAAGCCTCTTTCTACAATTTTTTTTTTTATTAATTAAGCCTCCCAATAGACGTTTGGCCTTGGTTGTTTGACATGTGGTCTTTTTCATTCAACATGGGGAAATTATATTATTTGTATTTTCAATGTGTAAAAGCAAGCATATCCTCGGCTATTTTTTTCTTATTTATTGACTACTTTTAATCCGTTAATTATACATTACAAATTCATAATCTATTCCCGTTGCGTAGCACGAGCTAATTTTCTAGTAACTAATTATAAAAAAACTCGATGGTGTGGACCGAACAACCCGCAACCCGACCTGTTGTAACCCGCAATCCGATCAACCCGAACCCGATTGATCCGCAACCCGATCAACCCGTAACCCGACTGATCCGCAACCCGATCAACCCGAACACGATCAACCCGCAACCCGATCAACCCGCAACCCGATCAACCCAAACCTGCTTGACCCGCAACCCGTTTGACCCGCAACCCGATTAACCCGCGACCCGACTGAACCCGACCCGAACCCGCCCGATTGACACCTATAATGGTATGGCCAAGGCAAGGGGGGTTGTGAGCAGTGGTCTCTTTACTCTACTAATGGTGAAGTACTTTTTGCCAATTTTAACTCATGTTATTCAAATACCCACCCATATGTTGTAAGTGGTATTTCTTTATGCCTTAGCCATTTTTACTCTATGGATAATCAAAACTACGAAGGAGATGCCAAGAGCAGAGGTTGAGGTCTCAAGAGGAGGAAGTCAAGACTGAAGAGGATCCCACTTCCAACATCAGGGGAACTGTCATAGCAGTTGAGTGGGTAACCGTCACTCCACCTCAGCAGAGCAGTTTCTTGGGGCAGTTACTTCTGGTGGCTATAAATAGGAGGTGAAGATGACAGAGAAAGGGTTCGCAAAAATCACAACTCGACACCACTTGTCAAGTTTTATCTTTTTTTATCTTTTCCTCTGCAGATTTTAGCCATAGTCGTAATTTTTGGAGCTCTCACTGAACCTCCATAGGAGTAGGGCTAATTTAATGTAGATTTTCCTCGTAGTTCATCAAAATATTGAACACCCTTGTTTGAACTCTGTTCAAAGAGGTGTGGACCGTGTTTGTTAATCGTTTGTTTGGAAGTCAAAGGTGCAAAATCCAATTCTATTCATCTAGTTTTTCTCGCCGGGAAAACAGCTAGGTAGTTGTAAGTGAGTCCATGGGTAAAAAGTATTAAAATTCCATAGGGAACTTTTTGTCCATTTTTAGATCGACGAAAGTCATCAATTGAAAAAGTTTTTCTCAATAAAACAAACAAATGTATAAAAAAGGGTAAATGTCACATTTGGTCATTGAGATTACTTATTCGTGTCATGTTTAGTCACTAGAAAAATTTAATATAAATTTTGGTCACTTGAATTACTGAAACAAATCACATTTAGTCACTCTCTGTTAGTCTCCGTCCAATTCCGTTAACAGAGTTCATTATGTGCTGACATGCAAACAGGAACGTGTAGTCAGCACTGTTTTGGGTCAGAAATGGACAAACCCGACCTGCCAAGTCACTAAACCACCATGTCATACACCCAATCCAACCCATGAACCCAACCTGACCCAGAACCATACCTGAGCCCACTTCATTTTTGGGTTAGGGGAGAATCTGCAGATCAACATGAGGATTCCGCGTCCAGCAGCCGCTGCCCTCGCCCCCTTCAACTTCTCCCACGTCCAGCACCTGCTCTACGCCTCCACGAGCTCTCTTCCCTCACCGGAAGCGTCAACCATGACTCGCCGCCTACGGCCTCCGATCCCTCAACCACCACTTATCCCCTATTTCTCCCCTGCCGCCACTGGTAAGAATCACCGTATTGACCATCCTAGCCATGGAAACCAACCAGAATGGAGAAACCCAATTCTCAATAAGACCTTCGGGGACAATTTTGCCACCTGGTGGCTCTCTTTTGCCATATCGATGAGCATAAACCTGTAGATCAACCGCTCGTTATAAACCCTAAACCCCCAAATCATCGACACGAATCAGGAAGAAACCCTAATCTTCTGTGCGCAGTTCCTCCTCCATGGAGTGAACAATAACAATCCCGACGAGAGAACAAAGTTCTCGAAAACCCTAAGGAGATTATAGCCAAAGGGGGTGATTCTTAGCGAGAACAACATGGATTGCAGCTGCAATGGTTGCATGGGTTTCAGATGGAGTTTTCTGTAAGGGTGGTGTCCTGTGGCGATTTCTGGACTAGACGAGCTCGGCCTTCAAAGGGAGGGAGAGCGAGGAGAGGGGGATGATGGAAGGTGAAGCGGCAAGAGGAAGGAGAAGTGGTGCGAGGATGAGAGTGAAACAACCCGATTCCTTTGAAAACCCAACCATAATTCAAACCAAAAATCAGTTACTCTACAACAATCCAAACCATGTTTTACAGTCAACAAAAATCAAAACGATGAAAATTGGGAGATAAGGTTGGTGGAGAGAGATGAGTTCGTGGGGTTGTGGTGGAAAGGGCAGTCGGTCTCTTTTTGCTTGCTGTGAAAGTTGGAAGAAGGCGGCAGCGATGGGGAATGAATGTGATGGGGTAGCGAAAAAGATGAAGGAGATGATATAAAACTAGTGATGAATGTGTTGTGATTACAATTTTGCTTTGTTAAGTGGGCTCGGGTTTGGTTCTGGGTCAGGTTGTGTTCATGGTTTGGGTTGGGTGTATGACATGGCAAGTTTACTGACATGGCGGGTCGGGTTTGACCATTTTTGGCCAAATACGATGATATGATATCAATTCCATCGTCATTTGTCTGTCGATTAATCGATCAAAGATGGTGTCAAGTCAACAAGAACAAAGCTGGAATTTTTCTTAGTATGGAAACAGTTTTGGGAAGCCCTCTTTGGAGAGTCGTATCTCGCAATTTATTCAATAGAAATGGGCGAATGAGCACTTGTTGTGAACCTGGGATGTTTTTATACATGTTGGAGTGCTTGGATCGACAAAGGGAAGCCAGGAAGAGGGTGAACCAAGGTCATCAAAATGCTGTCATGAAACTGGAAATCTGCCAGTTTTTTACTAAGGCAGAAAGGGTGTTTGAGATAGTGACTTTGAGGCTCAGTTTCATGAGCATGGGGGAGAATCGTCCTCGAGGCTTCAGACCACATGAATGTATGTTTGTTGTTCTACAAAGACATGGCATTGGCTAGAGGATTGCTTACCTGGAAGGCTTCCATCGAGGGGCTTGAAGATGGGAGGAAGAGCTGTTTTCTGGACAGCTTACTTAGCGTGCAAGTTTTGGTGTTTTGTGTTAATTACTTAGTGTTGAGTTTTCCTTGAGCACGAGTGCTTGAGTTTGGTCTTGGATCGAGATCCTGGACTTGCAGACTTCGAGATCAAATCCATCATCTTTGATCTCGTGGTGTTCTTCTACCCAAACCAGCCTCTTCCCCTTAGTGTTGAAGTTGCTAGCTTGGTTCGTTTTATCCGCCAAAACCTCTACTCGATTACTCCGAAACCCACCCTCACACTACCACTCTTGCCTTGCTGCGTGTTTGAGAGTTCAAGTTCCGACTTGTCTCGTATCATACGACGCTGACTAGGTGCTCCCGTTGGCCATGTCAGCACATAACGGACTATGTTAACGGAGTTGGACGGAGACTAACGGAGAGTGACTAAATGTGACGTGTTTCAGCAATTCGAGTGACTAAAATTGATATTAATTTTTTGTAGTGACTAACATGACACGATTTAGTAATCCCGGTGACCAAATGTGGCATTTACCCTACAAAAAAAAAATTCAAAATAGCAAGGTTCTGGTCAATTGGGTGGGGTAGAGGCTGATTAGGTGGTCTACTTGTGTGACTCAGCCTTTCTGTCAATCCAGTCAACAGTCTTTTTGCCAATTCATAAAAAAATGTAACGATGTTAACGAAGTCTAACGAAGACAGACCATCAATAACTAACGATGAAATGATTTGTAAAGTTGATAACTAATAAGAATGAAAAGCGATTCGAATGAAACGTGAAATTTAACCGAAATCGCTACTTAACTAGCTTATATCCCGGCCCGTTGGCCGGAATATTCATATTTGATCATTTATATTTTCATGTTATGTTTAAGTCTATCAACCCGTTTAATTTTATTGATAATCCTTCGATCAAGATGATACATAAAGAAAGAATATATAGGTTGAGCATTTGGATAAATATCATCATCATTTAATAATATAAAATATAAAAATGTATCATTGATCCCATTTTCATAATGCTAATTATTTCTCCGGTAAAATGCTATTGGTTAGTTGATTGTCAAGAAAGAAAGAGTATAAAAGCTCACTGAAATTCTCACACGAACCATAGATAGTTTGAAACTAAATCTTAAACCTCGCAATCCTACATTAATGTTCAATACTCTCCTTTTAGGAACAATATGCCACTAAGCACAAAGAAATAGAGAGGTGTTGATTAAAATTAACTATATACTAATAACTCAGCTAAGAGCGGACCATCAAAACTTGAGAGCAAACGCCAACATTAGGGTTACCTCCAATATACTATAGACTCTATCAAAGTCATAAGGAACAAAATTAGACATTCCTTCTCTATCAGTTCCAGTAGGTTGAATATAGAATCGACTGACCTACTTTAGTAAAACAATCAATGATTCCTTATTTTAAGATAAAAATAGGTTGCGATAGGTGCAAAAATCATAAACCTAAAGATCCAATAGCCACCACTCTCTGTTATACAATCAAAATTGTATCCACTCTATCTTCAATCTCAAGAGGCGTATGTTTCAACCAAAAAATCAATTTGGAATCCTCCTTCTACAACTCCATTCTATTCGCCATGGATTGATAACGGAGCTGAAATCTTCCACTTGCCTAGTTCAAATCACCAACAATAAAATTGTAGTGCAAAGAGATAGCGGAAGATTGATTTTCAAAGGCGACCTTGTACTGTGAAGTGAAAGAGGCGCAAACTACTGCACGATGGAGGGAATTTCAGAGAAAGTAAGAAATAGATAAGAACAAAGATAAAAAAGTATTAAATTTAAATATAGATGAAAAAAAGCAAGGACACAATATAGAGTAATATAATTAGTTTCTTCCATGTTGGCCAATTACCAATTTACTTTTAACGAAAATTAAGGAGGGAGCAGTAATTATAGAATTGAGAAAACTACATGAAACTCTGCTATGAAAATTGCAGTATCAAGCACCATAAAAATAAATACGGTAGACTTAATGAGCTTGCTAATCATGATGAAAAAGTCCTTCCATTTGTAGGTGTCACTTCGTGTATGTTTTGTACTAAAAAAATACAACAAATTCTTTAGTGTAATTGGTTGTGATTGTTGTCTTTCTTTGAAGAGACCCAAATTCAAATTCAAATCCTGATATTGATATTTTATATGGAATAAATAATTAATTGTAAAGATAAAAATGTCCTTTCTACTTTCACTCTCACCATTCAGATTTGACTAAACTTAAAATCAAAACTGTGGCATGCTTATAAGCAGGGCTGGAAGTTTGGTACCTGTATTTGGGATATTCCAAATATCATATCGAATTTGTCTATATTTTGTATTAACGAATACACGTATTATTTCGTGGGATTGGGATTGAATCTCAATCGTTATTCGGTGTTAGGGATTACGGGATTTGGATCATTATATACCGAAATACCGATCAATACCAAAACAGAAGCTAGTGTGCATTTTATCCTCTCAACTAGACTCTCTCATTCACTACTACGCTACCCTCAGCCACTAAGAGCGTCATTTAATTATACATAGATCATTCCATCACTATTTCACACTAGTACTAGTCGTCTCCCAACCTCCAATTCGTCAAATTAAAGACTACCAATTAAAAGAACTTGAGATGTTAGCTCTAGGCAACTCAAGACTCGTTGCTTAGTCTCTTTACCATAATTTAAACAATAGAATCTAATTTATATATTTAATTTATTAATTACAAAGGTAATTAATTTTGTAAGATGGGTTAGCGTGGTTACTTAATTTTTAGTAATACAGTGGCTACCTTAATCTACACCATTCATTATCTCTATTTTACCCTATTTTTAAATTAACGATAAAAATTAGATTAAGGGTAATTTTGGAAATAAAAAAAATATCACATCTGATTACTCTATATATTATACTCAAACCCTAATGTTACTTCAACTCTTCTCTCTCATCGTCGTTCCTCCCTCCACCTCACCCCACCCAACTTGCCGCCTACCACCACCCTTCCTCCCCCGCCACCTGCCACCGTCCCTCCTTCCTCCACACAATCCCGTCGACCTCCTACCAATCCTTTCTCCATCCCTAGCCCACCTCCCCCCTCCCTAGCACACACGGCCTCCCCACCCCTTCTCTCTATTGATCACTGCGCGTAGTCACCTGTAACCCCTCCCCTCCCTCCCACGATCTCCTCTCTCTCACTCTCTCTAGGAAAGGTTTTGGATGTGGGTTCATTGTTTTGGTACTAATTCATTTGTTTTGTTTTATGAAATGATATAGTTCTGTTGGTATTGATTTATTTATTTAATGGTATTGTTTTGACTTCATAGTAGTAGTGGTATACTGGTATTGTTTGATTTTGGTATTGGTTTGACTCTTATAATGGTATAGATTGTTTATATTGGTAGTGTTAGTGCAATGATATTGTTTTTCATAATGGTATTGATTTATTTTTGCAATGGTATTGGTGTTTTCCGAAATGGTAGTGGCTGTTTAACGGATTGGTATTGATTTATTTGTATTAGTGTGTTCCGAAATGATAGTGGTTGTCTAACAGATTGGTATTGATTTATTTGTATTGGTGTTTTCCGAAATGATAGTGGTTGTCTAACGGATTGGTATTGATTCATTTGTATTGGTGTTTTCCGAAATGGTAGTGGTTGTTTAATGGAATGATATTGATTCTTGTTTTGTTTTTGCAGTATTATTATTTCGATTGAAATGAGACAAGAAAAAGATTGAGAAAAAAAGAGAAATGGATGGAGATTGTGAAAGAGAGAGAAAATTGTAATTAATATATTTTTGAAATTTCTAATTTGTTGAAAAAGATAATTAATAAATTTTTTGTCATACCCAATTTTCCCTTAGTAACCACGGTGATTACTATTTTATACTAATCATTGTAACCTGTCCCTTAATTTTGTATTCGATAATAACGATTGGGATACCGAAGTATCGATTGAGATATAAAAATATTTAGGGATTGAGATTGGAATACCGAAATTATTTACAGATTGTGATTGAGATTGATTTTAAGGTGTAATTCGGTATTCGAAATTTCGATATTTAGTATTGGAATACTGTTACCGTACTGTTAGTTCGTAACCATCCCATCTAGACCTCTTTTGGGAGTTTTCCAAATACATACGGATTCCGTTTCCATGTAATCTAAATCTAATCTAAACAATATATAATGGGGATTCATCACCCAGTTTTTCTCCATTTTGAAATTCCGAGCCTGGGAGTGATTTGCGGTAGGGCAATAATGTCATTTAAGCTTAATGCACAATTAATGAAACTCTGCGTTTTGGATTCCAGCCCAAGAGAAAGAAACTTTTAACTCCGTGACCTAGGCTTCCCACGAATTGGCTATTGAGCCCTGCTTTTCCTCCCCACCTTGCTGAGATTATTGGTTCAATTCTTTTATATTTATTTTAAACTTTCGCAGAAAGCTTGGTACTTGGAATAATGAGTCATCTCTAATAAATAAGGACACACCACAACTTCTCCAATCTTTGCTTCATTTTTCTATTTTATTATGGTGAATAAGATAAAGAACCAAATTGTATTATCAAACTTTCCTTTTGCAAACCCAATTATCATTCTTTCTCAAATTACACGCACTCCCTATAACAATAATCAACGCCTCCTTCAGAATTCACCAAAATGTTCGGAACAAAATGTTTCATATTCATAAAATCAAGCACCTCTTTGCGAGCATCGTACTTGGAAGCAATAGAGACATAAAGGAGGTGGCAACTTATTTGATGACGTTGAATTTTCAATGACCAAATGTGTTTTCTTAATGCATTTGAAAATTTTGGTTAAATATAATTTAGTAGCAAAACCGTTAAAAACTTTCGAATTACTAGGCAAAATTTTCAAATACGCAATATTAGCCAAACATAACGCCCCATAAATAGTTTTGTTAGTAATGATGATTTGGCAACATGATGTTGAGTAGGAAGAGACATGTGGCCATCCACATTGCAAAATATTTAGTATTTTAACAAGAAAGAGTTCAAAAATTTTAACCATAATAGAAAAATGTTTTGACCAACCCAATATATTTGGCAAATACTTTGTATTTTAAATTTTTTTTTGAAAAATCTAAAAAATTCTACTAACAAAATGCTTTTACCGGAAAATTTTCAATATATATGACATGGTGGTGATAGGGCTAATTGTGAAATATTAATTTTAATTATATGAGTTAGTACCTATTCCATTTTGTGTGATGTTAACAATTATTATAATAAACATAAATATTCAATTATGAAATAATTTATTAATGATATTATGAACATCAATAATATGACCAAACAACATTAATAGGCAACTGTGATATTGGATCATATTGTTAACAAAGAAATGATGCATTGTTAATAATCTACAAATTGAAACGTTGCCAACATAAGTAAAATTGTTAACCATATATATCTCATATGAACAGGCAGCAGCCAATGAATGAACCGTCATTGAAGCAATTAACACTAAAGTTTGAATATCCACAGTTAATAAATGAATCTTTCAAACTTTGACATTGACTGCAACGAAAGTATAAGATGGCGGACATATACGAAGCAACAGTGGCGGTTATCGAATTTATTCCCCGTGATTAACGATATTAGGTTCGTCTTATGCAAATCTGTCCTGTCTGAAAATGGTATATGAAGGAAGTGGAAATATGGTAACAAAAAAACATTTTGGAAAGAAGCAAATGTGTCGGATGACGTGAGAAAATAGAAAGGTACAAAACGGGAGGTTCCGACATGGTTTGAATGTGGTAAAGAAAGAGTGAGAGATTGAAGTTTCACATTATTATTTTTTAAATACTTATTAAAATAATTTTTAATTTAGAATATTGATATTTCTCTTTTAGGTTTTTGTCTTCTTCATTAATCTAATAATTTCTATTAAGTTAAGAAACTTGATAAATTATTAGCTTAATGTTTGCCTAAACCGCATGCTATATGTTATGTTTTGGTGGAGATAAACTTCGTCTAATGTCTAATTGTATGCTTGACAACTTGAGGATTAATTAATGGTGGATCTATTGTTTGGTGGTTGTGAACATCTTTATCTATATGCAGTAGTTTTGTTATTTGCTTTGTAATATGTAACCTATGGGTTAAATGGTCATAGTTAGAATTGCGTTGATATTGATATGTGGATGGGGATAAGGGTTAACCCATGGCGATGAGCACAGACTATAAATTAATAGTTTTTTGTTTCATGTATCAGACCTTCAAATTCGCAGGTTATAAATTTTATGTCTATTTCTCTTGCTTTTGGCTATCTTATTGATTAGGAAACCCAAGACTTTTTTCATGTAAAGCTCTTATTGGATTTCTTGATATTGAATTTCTCACAATGAACATCTTTTTGACAATGTCTTTGACTCTCATCTTTTTGACAATGTTTCTTTTGGGAGCATAATTAAAGGATTTTGTTACACATCTAAACATGCTATGGATTTTAAGGAGAGCAAGATGCAACTTGAAGGCAAAAAGTTACTTTAACATATAGTCTTCAAAGTGACTTCCATGTATTGAGCATTTGAGATCAATTTGCTCTTCATTGCCCACTATTTTGTCTACCTCTACTTTCACATTAAAATATTAATACTGAAGTTAACAATGAGGCATCTAAAGGCTCAACTTTTAATTATAACTTCCGAAGTGCGCAAAATACTCATTTGATTTTTCTTTTATGCCTCGAGCCCTTGACTCATGTTAAGAATGCTTATTCTGAATCTTGGCACTAGGTCATTTTATGGTTTCTCTAACAACTTCTACAACAACACTCTCATGCATGGATGCAAATTGTCACAAATTCTATAGCATATTAGTTTGTTCAAAATCAGTAAGGTTAATGTTGTATCGAGGGTGGTTTTCACGTCATCGTGGTATATCTTCAACATGCTACTTCATATTGTTGATCAATCTCTAATGTGGCCTACATATTCTTTCACATGATATAATTTCATATCTATAACGTACCGTGATGAATAAAGATGATAACTATTGAGAAAAAAATATTTGATTAAACTACATGAATGGACAATCATTTTCTTTTATGATTAAGATTAATTTTGTTTGTGTAATGGAAGAAAACTCTCATGTTGTCATACATGAAATACAAAATAAATAGACATCATTTGCTTTCTAAATATAGCTATTAGTTGTTTATATTTGTTATTCATTTCTATATATTTTCCAAATACATACGGATTCCGTTTCCATGCAATACTAAAACATAGAGGAAGAACTCCGCCCTAAGGTTAACCACCAAAACTTAACTGCGACCAGACGGCGAGCAGCTGCCGCCCTCGCCTTCGTCGGGTGCAGGCCCTGCATCTTCCTATCAACGCTTCCGATTGCAAGCACCAGAAGTTCACAACGGTTGCCATTCCCTTACTCTCTCAACCAGGTTTGGCTCCTACCATTCTCATCCGCCATTCTGCCTTGCCGTTGGCGGTGCCGTTTTCAGTTTTCGTGTACTTTTCAGGTTCTTTACCAATTCATGGTCGGTTCCATTCATTGCAATCTGTACCTCCGAAACTGTATTTTTGAGCTCTGCGGTATGGTCAGAAAATTTGGAGTTTCTATTGTTTCTTTTCCTTCCCCGAACTCTATCAATGAGATACCTAATTCGATTTGGCCGGCTCAAGATACGCTTTGCCTGTTGAATCTTGGTTGACTGAACAAGCGAAGCACTTTTGGTTGATATCTAAGGTTGAAGTAGCCAATCATTGCTCATTTTTTGCAAATTACCGATATCTGAAGTGTTGGAATTTCTGGTTTGTTCTTCCCCTGCTGTAAATCTCTCGTTTCTTTTCCGCGTGAAACCCTTGCGAGCTAGTCTTGATTAGTATGTTGTGTGAATTGCAGTTTCATTACTCCTGCAGTGCATAGTTGTATTTTCGTGACCAGGGAAAGATCTGGATGAAAACATCTTTGATTGGGTACGAAAGCCAGAGTACTAAGACGTGGGAAAGCAAAAGGTTCTGGTGAAGTTGCTAATGCACCTGGAAGAGGGTTGAGACAATTCATTTTCTGGTTTTGATTCATAGGGAGCTTGTATTTTGTCAGCCATGTCCAAGGAAAATGATGCATGCATCACGACTTACATCGTAGAGACTCAATCCACTATCAAACGGGAATGCTCCCAGTTAAAAAAGAAGAGGAAAAAGAAGCAGCTAAAGAGGTCATGGGATGCAAGTGGTGATTCCCTGCCTAATGATTTTCTGCCAGAAAATGCTTGTGGTAGAAAGGGAAGTTGTATCAATGAGGCAGGAGTCGATGCTAATTCAAATGAAAGTTTTGAAAGGACAAATGATATACAATCAGTTACCTTACTGGAGGAAATGAAGAAACCGAAGAAGCACAAGAAAGGTTTGAATAATTTGCAGCCTGCTATATTTCATAAATCACAAGAGGAAGGACAGCTTGAAAAGGCAGGGAACGTTAGCAGTGATTCTCTGGCTGACATTTCTGCAATAGAGAATGGTTCTGCTGAATCAGTTGTTTATGTCAATCCAGTTGAAGTTGGAGCTCAATCAAATATAGATTCAATTACCACTGGTGAACTGATTACCTTATCGGAAGTAGTAAAGCGACGAAAGAAGAAGAAGAAGAAAGATTTGAACAGTCCCAGGCCTGCCAAATTGGTTACCTCAAAAGACGAGAAACAGGTTGAGATGATACAGAAATTTAGTAGTGATTCTCAGGCTGGTATTTCTTCAACAGAGAATAATGTCGATGGAACCGTTAGTCATGTTAATGAGGATAACATTGATGCTAAATCAGAGAAAGACTTGATGACTACACAGGCTACAGAACCAGCTAATTTCCAGGAGGGAGGAAAGAAAAAGAAGAAGCGGAAGAAAGGTGTGAACAGTTCCCAACCTGCCGAGTTACTTTCACAAAACAGTGGATGCCATGAGAATGCACATAAAATTGGCATTGATCAGGATATCATTTCAGCAACAGAGAATGCAACCAATGAAAAAGATAGTTATGTTGATGAGGTCCAAGTGGATAATAACTCAAGAAATGGCTTGAGCAATCTAGAGGCTGAAGAACTCGGTACCTGTCAGGAGGGAGAAAAGAAAAAGAAGCGGAAGAAAGCTCGGGATAGTTCACAGCCAACAAAATTGATTTCATCACAAGTGGAGGGACAGTTGGAAAAGATAGAGAATTCTAGCAGCTACTCTCAGCTTGAAATTTCTGGAACAAAGAATACTATCCGTGAAGCAGGTAAGCATGTCGATGATGCTGAAGTTGATGCTACACCAAAGATAGATTTGAGTGCTACACATGCTACAGAGTCAGCTACCTTACACAAGGAAGGAAAGGGAAAAAAGAAAAGGGGAGATTCAAGTAATCCCCATTCCTCAGAACTAATTGCATCACAAGAGGAAGGGGCATTTGAGAGTATGCAGAATGTTGGTAGTGATCCCCAGGCAGATCTTTCTGAAACAAAGAATATCTCTATCAGTAAAAATAGTTGCATTCATGATACTGGAATTGATGCCAACCCTACAGAAGATCTGAATAGATCTCAGTCGATCATGTTAGTTGAATTGCAGGAGGGAGGAAAGAAACGGAAGAAGAAGCAAGAAAAACATTTGAACTGTTCACATCCGATGCAATTGCCTACTTCAGATGAAGAAGGAAAGACAAAGAAGAAGCGGAAGAAAGATTCAAGTAGTTCGGGTCCCAGAGAGATGCATGAATCACACGAAGAAAGAGTTGCTGCGAAAATGATTTGTTTGAAGAATGATACATGTCTGGATAATTGTCTTAAGGAGAACATTCCAGAAGTACGCAAAGTGAAAAAGAAGCAGAAGCTGATGGCCAAGGATGGGATCATTACTGCTGAGGGTAAAGAAGGTGGTCATGCAGATGATGCTATTAACACTTCGGTAGAGGCGAAGGACAATATTGGGGTCATACAAGCAGGAATTGGTTCTCTAATACATGCAACTGATGTGCTAACAGATAAGGATGACTTTGGCGAACCTGGTTCTCTTTCTGTTGAACTTACGCATGCCAATGAGATTCTAAACAAAGACGAAGTAAGACTAAGTAGTATGAAATCAATAAAGTATGGTGGACCTACAGAGCCTGGTACCGAACGCATTACTGGGGATGAAAAACCACAAAGGGGCCATTCAGATGAAAAACATCCCAACAAACACATGGAGGATGTGCTGATTGGAGAACAAGCTCGAGAACATTCTCCTTTGATCAAGCCTGACATCTTGACAGGCAGTGCCTCATTTAACTGTTCAAAAGAGGTTGCCATTTGTGAAGAACTTGAGAGGACATCTGAAAGAGGGAATGAAGTAACGGGGCAAAGTTCAGAGAATTGCTCAAATTGCAATAACTCAGGAGAGCATTCTACATCAGTGAAGGGATTGGAAATGACCATAGGGAAGAAGGCCGAATCTAATTTTTCTGACATTGATATCTCACTAGAGGAAAGCAAGATGCCAACAAAAATTATGAATGAAGTCAATGTGGATGTTCCTACTGAAAGGGGCAGCATTCCACGAGCACCAAAGATTCCAATGAAAGGACCTCCTAATGCAGGTGCTGCCAAAAAGCTCCTTATCCTTGATGTGAATGGGCTTTTAGCAGATATCATTCCTCACTCGCAGCGCCCAACATCACGTAAGCCTGACTTTCACCTCAGGCAAAAATCAGGTAAACGGGTCTGGGCCTTTTCATGATAAGGTTGCCAAAGGTTCTTGTTTTTGGTTTGAATTTCATCTCTTTTTTGTATTTCCAGTTTACCGAAGGCCGTACTGCGTAGATTTTCTCAACTTCTGCTTCAAGTATTTTGAAGTTGGTGTTTGGTCATCTAGAAAGAGGTACTGCATTATCCATCTTAATCACACTGTATATGCTATTGTTTCTTGACACTAGCTCATGACAAGTTATATATATGACCGTGGGTATGTTTTTGTTCGATCAAATCCATCACATGTTACATTAGGACTCTAATTATGAAGTGTCTTAATGCTTGTGCAATTCAGGGTTAACTTGGATGAAGTTGTTAAGTTTCTCTTTGGAAGTTCTAAACGTGATTTGCTCTTCTGTTGGGTAAGTACCATACTGCAGTTATATCTCCTTGTCTCTCCTGTTCATATAACATGTACGTTCTCTCCTTTCTGTGCTTCATGACCGGAAATGCATTCAAATGTGTGTAAGCTCATGCGAATTATTGAACTTTGTTCAACTTTGCTTATTTCCATTCTTAAACACCCTTTTCATTATTTGCCACTTGACAAGCATAAGGGACCAATTTATGAGCTTGTGACCTTACAGCTTTACTAAGATTTTAACTTGAAGAGTTATATCCGTGAAATACAAGTGGATCTGGGTTGCTCAAAAGAGCTCGGTTTAATGTCAACCTTTTTCTTTGAATATGTTTCTCTTAATGCAGGACCGATCATTCTGCACCATCGTAGGCGTGGCCACCATCGACAATCCAGAAAAACCCCTAGTTTTAAAAGAGTTGCAGAGACTCTGGGGGGATTGGAAGAAATGTCCTTGGAGAAGGGGTTACTTTGATGCATCAAATACATTATTGTTGGACGATTCACCATACAAGGCTTTACGCAACCCGGTAGGCCCTTATTGTTTAAAATTACCATTGCATACTGATTTTCATTATCTGAATGGAATCCTGATGTTTCTTTGTCATATCGGGTGTGCAGGTGCACACTGCTATATTTCCCCATTCATATAAGTGTACTGATGATGAAGATTCTGCATTAGGTGAGTTGCGCCTATTTAAGTGATTTTCTTCATGGAAAACTACCTTAACTTATTTGCTGTTTTCAAAAGGGCTTGTTTCCAGACAAGTCATTTGATCAGTTGATAGTTGATACTGTTTGTGGAGAAAGATAAACTCCTGAGGGCTTAATTTTGTTTTAGTTTCTTATTCTAATTTCTAGGAGAGATTCTGACTCGGGACATTTATTTTATAAAGCTTTATCGCTAGATTTTGCCCTGGTTTTTGGATAGTCGTAACTACTGGAGCCATATATGTGCCAAGATGGTGGTTCTGAGATTGCAAAGCCTGTAGAAAGTGGTTTAGTGAGAAGATTGTCATACTACAAGCAGTGTCTTGTATGGTAATTTGGTCCAGTGAAAGCATTGACCTGTAAGCCAGTGCCTAGGTTCACAAGCGAGTGGTGTAGTCCTTCTCGGTCTTGTATGAAAATGCTTCGGCTCCCTGAGTTTATTGTTTATTTGATTGTAGGTATCTTGGCGACTCCGCCATTCTCTTAATAAACCCTTTAGACACAGCAGTCGGAGGGTATTTTTCTTTTCTTTTGGTAGTTACTGCTATTAACTTATATATATGCTGGTGGTTCATTTATCTGGTTCTGATTCTGGTCATGCATCGGTTGCCCTACATTTCGTTGTCCATCCCAAGATTTTCGTTTCCTTTTTTTGGGATGTTTACTAACATTTGATTGCGTGGTTGCAACGGTAAGCAGGGCCAGAAGGTGACATTCGTAGATATCTGGAGCGGTTGATTGAAGCGCCCCACGTTCAGGAGTTTGTATCACAAAATCCATTTGGTCAAAACCCAATCAGAGCATCTGACCCTTCTTGGCCCTTCTATCGCAAGATCATAATAGGTGGTAACTAACAGGCATTGGAGCTGCTAGCTTCCCTGTGCATCATTTTTGTGCCAGATTTTTGGGGGTGCGAATTGTTGTGTCATGTACTATTAAGTTTATTAAATGTTTTCAGTTTCATTCATTTCTTTGGTAGTTAGTTAACATAGAGGGAGATGGATATCATATATCTACTAGTTTTGTACGGACACGTTGCCTGGGTGAATTTCCTTTTTTATTATTTTATATTTTTAGTTTATTTTCTTAAGTTTATATCTGCTTAGATATTCTAAATTGTTATGTATTGTTGGATATTTTTCACAAAATAGTTATGGTTTCTCGTGTATTATAATAACTTTTCGGTACAATTTACCATTTCAATATAATCTTTGGTATTATCCATTGTTATCAAGCCCGAGGTAGTCGGCCGGACTGGTAAAACCGCCACCTGGCTATCAAAATGGCTCGACACAGCTATTTAGCCGGAACGGGATTTCGGGGCGATAGGCGAGCGGCCAAGTCAGTTAACCACTCGCGCAGTTTGAGTCGAACACCTGGCTTTCCATTTAGGCCGGTTGTTTTTTTAGTAATATATATATATATATATATATATATATATATATATGAACTTAAAGGAAAGTGGAAATTGCCAAGCTGTCAAACAACCCTAATTTTTGAATTCATTCTCTTCGCCTCTCGTGCAAACTAAACGGACAGAAGGAGCGCAGCTTCCGTCGCTAGCACCCATCGCCAGTCCCCGTCGCTCAGTCCCCATCGATAGAACCAAGAGGTGACCTCGAACTCTTCGTCCCCCATCAATTTTGTTGATTTGGAAGCACTGCTCATCGAATTGGCGGGCTCTCTTGTCGGCGAACCAAGTGACGACGAGCACCCATCAATCTGTTCGTCCTCTCTCCCCTGTGACGACGACGACCCAGCTATGAGATGACCCAACTCTTCGTAATCCTACTGCTGCCTCTCCTTCCAGTCGGTGCCGACCTGTCTGCCCTGCCCCTTTTCGTTCAAGTTGCACGAAATAGAGCATTGAAATGAATGAGAAGGAAATCTCAGAGAGGGGGGGACGAGGGGCGCCGCTAGGTTTGGGGATTCTTTTGTTATTCAATATATACTAGCTTTTACCCAACATATTGGTCGGATGAATTTTATTTTATTTTGTATTATTTATGTGTATTAATTTATTTATATTTTATTTAAGGATCATTTATATAGATTATACGTGATTTGAAAGTAATACTTGTGGTACTCATTATTGATTCAATCGTATTTTTGTTGATATGCTCATCCTAACTTAATGTTTTATATTTTTTTTCATATCTTAGTATAAATTTTTACCTTTCTTATTGTATCAATAAAAGGTTTGAGAAGTATTTAGTCGTAAGATTCCTTATCATTAACTTGATTTTCTATTATCTCCAAACGAAACCAAGACAATTATGAATAGAAGTAACTGAAAACAAAAATGCAAGACCATTGATGAAGTCGCAATGTTCAACAATACAATTAGAGTTTAATAAATCATAGGACTTATGCCATTGTTCAATCCTCAGAACAACCCAAACAAAAAATAAAAAAAATACAGCTTGAAAAAGAGGCTTTGCACTGCGAAAGAAGTTCTTAACGCCCTTGTCCCTAAACCCTCCAATTCCTGGATATACATCAAAGGACACAAAAAGAGGAAAGCACTTTGAGTTATGAACAAAAAAGAAGTTTTGGCAACAGGAAGAGAAGCAAACTCATACAATTTGAATGGTTCACATTAGTTATATCAACCTCTGACTCAAGCGCCAAACCACCTGATCTATTTAGAGATAACAGTGCACAAAGATAAAATTGTCAATCAAAATCATCAATATACATTATGAAAAACATATAAAACATGCAACACCAATCAAAAGATCCCCAAAAGGCAATCATAACTACAATAATTAGCTAGGTAAGAAGCTGAGTTGACAATCCTGCAGAGAATGGGTGGATACATAGTTCATGTAGTTATTTTTCTAGTGGAGAATTTTACTTGCAAAATGCACCCAATCACTGCGATCAAAATGTTAAATGCATGGATGACTCAAAATCTTCAAAAGTACAAAGGAAAATGAATGTCCAAATGGAAACCCCCTCAAATCCGAGCCTTCTGCAGCTGCAAAGACGTGAAAAACCATTAAAAAAGTGGAGAAAGAAAGGATAACTAAACAGTCTCTAAGCTGTAGATAGAAATCATATCCTCCAAAATTGACAAACAACATCTTGTTCTGACCTGCAATGTCCTCTCACCATCATTCAAAATTTCAAATTGTATAAAATTTCTAAAATGGAATCAGAATGAAATGTACAATAAAAAACATGTTGTTCTGACCTGCCAGGTCCTTGGACCATTAATGTTCTCGGCGTGCTGATTCTATAAACTAATTTAACCAATAAATCCAAAGCACCAGAAAATTGAATGGTATAAGAACAAACTAAAGAAATTTGAAACCTCAGCAATGAATGTTAGCAGTGTGTCGTACTTATCTGAGCAACATAAAAGGATCGTGCTAATGATGCTGCTGCAGAAATACTTCAATCGAAGAGCCAAAAGCACAGGGATATTAATAACCTCAAATCCAACCTCCTTCCTTTTTATCACCTGTTTCCGCAAAGGATGAGTAGAGAGATTTCTTATCAGTCGAAGAGTTCAACAATCTTGTTATACCTGAAAAGCAAGAGAGCAAATTATTAATAAGCAAACAACATGAAACAGAAGAACAAAAGGAAGCAAAATTATCTCCCCATAAACGTATCGTCCTAAAGGGTAGGCCAAGATAATCGAAATGAGAAACATGAATTTCTGATTCACAAAGGCAGACATATCCATAAAAGCAATTGCAAGCTAGCACATATAGTATGGAAATGAAACCCTATTGAGAGTAACCTATTCTCACCTTTGTTCTACATAATCTGATTTACCTTACTAGGCGTTGAAAATGGAGAACTCACCCACCACAGATGGCAAGTTGGATCATGCAATGAACCAAAGATCCATTGAAAAGAGAGGAAGAGACCAGTATGGGAGAGCAAGAGAATTAACTGAGGAATAAAAGATAAAACAGAGACATTAAGTACTTGAGGATTGCAAGGGATTACACCAAGCACACAACCAAAACTTCATTTTGTAATAATTTATAACATTCCAACTCATTTTGTACGATTTTGTATGGACGTCTGAGGCTAGCCCGATCAATTCCTCTGTACAGTCCTCCACGAATCCAATGATCAAATGAACTAATGATACCACATCAATTTCCATCATCACATTAAAAAGGTATGGAACTCCTATGATCAAAAGGGTCTTCTACAAAAGTACCAAACATAAAATATTAAACTTGGAGAGTACATTCAATGTCTATAGTTGTTCTTTGTCGTTAGCGAAATCACATAACATCTCCCAATATCACCAGTCTCACTCCACAAAAGCCTAACGCAGACTTTCCAATTTTATATACGACCCATTAGTTCTAAATATCTCATAATCAACACAAAGAAATGCAAGGAGATCAATTTCCATGGAGAAATACCAGAACTTTCAAGATGGTTCTTCATACTACTTCAAAGGCATGTCTGAACCGGTGGGAAGAGCATTATCAATTCATCACCATCCTGTTGCTTAGAGTAAGTTTTAGATGAAGATTTCTTGGAAATTATTATCTGCATCTATATATTACTACAATCACCTTTAGTTGCTTCCATGCAGTACAAAATAACAATAATGCAGCTCTTCCTTTCTACAATTAACACAATCTTCTTGGTCCATGCAATTCCCCCCCCCCCCCCCCCCCGAACCATAAGTTTGGGCTGTGGCATGAATCTGCTAGTTGTTTGTCTTGTTAGATACATCATAAGAAAAATATATACATGCATTGCAGCTAGTTTGGTTCTTAAAACGGAACAACACACTATTCTCTTGCGGTTTGTCCCGTAATGACATTGACAAAGATAAAAATATTGGTTCTAAGACTCTGCTTAGTTCGTTTTATATACAAATGACACGAATTAAAGTTCGACCAAACCAACATTCCAATCTCAGGCTTAACTACTTATCGAAATAAGAACAAAACTTTACCAATTAATAAGCACTCAAGACAGCTGGCAGCAATGCAGATTGATGTTGCAACTTGTCACCATGGTTGGTTTCCATGACTGAATTAGACAAAAGCTTAATGTCCTACAAGTGACATTCTATCCTCCACAAAACAATTCAATATTAGAGGCTAGATAACAACTCAGACTCGTTGGGGAACATACCATTATTTAAGAGAAATCATTCAAGCTGGATATAAACACTCAATTTCCTTGACAACAAGGAACACTAACAGAGGAAAGTAGCTTGATGATACAACTAACTACCAAGAGAAGCACTGATATCAAAGAGAACTTACTCAAAAGCAAGCTGGTTACATGAAAGCACCATAGTCAGATGGTTCACCAGTTTTATCAAGCCTCGAGTCTGATTATCATTTATCCATTTGCATAATGCACTAATTGGGGAGGCAAAAATGACTTTTGGCTCTTCTATTTTTATTAACACATATAAGTCATAAACCCAGTAAGAAAATTGATCCTGTACATGCTGTCGTGCAGACAAAAATCACATGAAACACCAATATTGTTTGAAAGAAATAGTGGGTGGGGGAGAAATTAACATGAAAGAAGATCCATGATAAATTCAAAAAAGGCAAGAACTTTCGTACATAGTTTTGCCCTCTTACATGCAGAAGGGATGAAAATTGAACTATAAGTAACACATAAGGACTACTCTACATCATACATGATGACCACAAGTACAAAAATTTACTTCAGAGTTCTAATAAACAAAAAGCATCATCATCTGTGTCATACCTCTCAACATGATGGACCTAGATTATAAAAATAAGAGATTAGCCTAAGTAAATCCATAAAATTGGCTTCTCTCATTCGAGTCGTCCATACATAGCAATATGACACAGACCTAGAAAAAAAATTTGCAGCTAAAACAAGAAGATATTTTTCAATAACTTGAATAGCGAGATGAAGGAAAGAACAAAAGCTGGAGAAACCCACCAAATAGCAGCAGGGCATTGAACAGACAGGTGCGAAGATAATCGCAAGAGCTGAAAAAATAAAGACGGGTCAAACGACACACATGATAATTGGTCCAACAACAGTGGAATCGCCATAGGGACCTGCTGCTAATTGAGAGCAGTTAGTTGTTCCGAAAATGGACCTAGAGCTCTCTGCTGCAATTTGACAAAGCCATGTAGTTACTTAAATTTATAAAAAGTAAATAGCTTTATTTGCAATTGATAACAATCGTGAGATAATGAAAAGAAGAGAAACAAAGAGGAACCACCCCACCTGCTGCTAACGGAGGGGCGAGGGCAGTGAGCTTTAGGAACCCAACATAGAGGTAGCGATTATTAACTGAGGGCAGAGTGGTGGTCAAGACAGTTTCGGCTGGTTTCAATAGGTGGAGAACAGCTACCGCCCACTCCGATCTTGTCTTCCTCCCAAAGTCACTGCCACCGTTTCTTTCTCCATTGCAAACCCAAGCTCCTCTCCCTCCCACAAACTCACCGCGCTTCAAAAAAAAATTCTAACTTCCCGCAACGATTGCCACTGCAATCTCGAAAACATCATTGCATGCCGGGTCTAATATCAAGATTTCGAGAAATTGCAGATGCCCAATATCAACGAATGCTTCTTCGAAATTCACCATATACTACAAATCAAATATATTGAGATCCAAGAGTTGAAAGAATGCTGTGAGCGGACCACAGTGCCAAGGTAGCAGCGCCGGTCGAACGGGTTGGCTTATCCGCAAGTTAAACCCTCAAATCAGTTTCAGAGAACGGACGGGAAGAGATTGAAAGTATACAACAGAAGACGGAGTGTATTTTGCTGCGACAAGGGGATTAGGGTCGAGGGGAGATAGGGAATCAGAGTTTACTTTGTTGCGGGATGGAAATAGAAAGAGAGGAAAAGAGGATGAAAACCCCGCCTAAATGGGAAGCCACCTCATCACCCGAAAAACATTCTAAGATCATGAATTTTTGAATGAGGAGTGCAGTTATAAGTTTCAGCTATAAATGATATTGTAGATGTATTTTAAAATTACTAAGTGGTACCTGCAAAATAAATTTTATTTTAGCCATTGAATTGTTAAGTTATTGCTTTAGGTGTCTTGTACTTATTATATTATTGTTTTTAATGTATCGGTTCACTAACGGTTTTTTAACGGCCAAATACGGGTTGAACCACTAAAGTGAAAGCCATTCACATTACCGGGTCATGCTCCGGTTCGGTTCTGACAACATTGGTATTATCTCAATATAAATTTATGAAAAACTTGATTTAGTATAGGCTAATTTGTCAATACTGGATTTTCTTTATGGGCTAGGTCTCTTGAAGGCCAAATAACCTCTTTTCCTAATTAGGGCATGAACTGATGGGTTATGTACTTGCTTTGACTTTCCGTAATGGTTTCTCCGGGCCATAAAATGAGTATTCGATGTTCAAATCCTTTCTGTTTGAGCCTATGAGCTTGTGATCTCGTCATCCTTCTAATCTATTTATGATCCATATTCTTCTTTAGCACATTTTATCCTTAAAAAGCACAAAACAACACCAAAAGGTGTAAAATAGTATAAAAATACACTCATGATCTATCTTAGGTACGCTGATCAAATAGTTACAAGGTTTATATGAAATACAATAAAATTTACTAAAGATGCATTGATAAACGAGAAAATGTGTCAAATATGAGAGTGATAAACACTATAATTTGAACGTCATCATATGTGCAAGCAGTTTCCTAGATGATTGGTTGTATCATCTTCCTCCTCACCATAGAAAGACCCTTCATATTTGAGAATTACAATTTCTTCATTGAGCTGAGAGTTGAAATACGTGGTATCAAATGCGGCACTGATGGATGATATTCCAGCTACTATAGCGCGTCGATTCTTTCTCCCATGACTTTGAATATACATAAACTTCAAACAGAAAAGGGGTAAATTGAGAGAGTTATGAACTACTTTTACACGTTCCCAATCGACCAAGTATAACTAATGACCGAGTGTAGTATAGGGCAAGCAAGTAGTAAAATTATCGAACCACGGGTCTCTACATGTCCCTTACTTCAGCTTGAGTTTCGTTATATAGCAAACCAAGAATAGAGATTAAGACTAAACTAACTACAATAACCTAACACATACCCTAGTTAATTACAAGTTTGGAGCTCTCTTAGGCTTGAATCCCCCTAGCTCCTCAATTGGATCGATGTTGAGTATTATGCTAGATCGATTGACTCTACATTTCTATTGCGGGGAATACTATAGACTGGGTTGGACCCCCTATTTGAGTGTATCAAACCCTGCTCAATTGCGCTACCCGGAGAGGCATACCAAACAGCCGACAAAGGCAATTGAGGTGCTAACCGGTAATTCCCACGATTGGGCTAGACCCACGCATCACTACCCAATATGACACTATGCAACTTATTACTTTCGTATAAAAGATCCATTGTGAGTGACTGAAGGTGCCAATTTAACCTAAGAGGATATTCTCCCTCTTAGGTCAAAAGCTCAATTGACATGAAGAAGTGTCAAGACTCATGCAATTCATCATAAACATCAATCACATAGATCTAGGGTTCGTCAACTAAAGAGAGGAGAGCTAATTCATAGAGAAAAGAAATAATACAACAAGAAGCACAAAATTCACAAGATCTTCATCTTCTAGGCTTGATTCCTTGACTCCAAGCTCAATCAAAGCTTGCAATGCAGTTCCAATATCACTCTAGATCACTCTCTCCCTCTATAATGCCTCTTTGGTGTTTTGGATCGATGACTCGGCTACCACTACACTCAATGCCACGGGTGAGGATAGGGCAAGTATTTCAATATCAACTCGGGCAGTCTATCTACCCTTACTTCAATTGTTTGCACGTTATCTAGCAATCGGATGTGGTTAAAGCTAAGAAGGCTAAGAAAATTAAACAAGCAAACAAGAAAACTTTGGTGATTTCGATTGAGAAAGAATCAATCGGATATTGCTCCCCTAGTCTCGTGTCAAGATACAATGAATGAAACTCTAGTGTGATAATTAGGACCATATACCGTGAGGAGGTCGCAGTTAGCTAGGGAAACCTTAAGTCTCTCAATCAGTCGATTAAGGATTGTCACAATAAGCTAGGAAACCCTAAGCCTCTTAATTGATCAACCAAGGATTGCAACACCACTCCCTCGCAAGTTAATCCAGAACTGCGAAAAGCAACCAATCAAGACGAAGTCATGGCACTACATAAATGAATGAGAAATGGACCGAATTGCCATAGAGAAGGTTATCCAAATTGGCAAGATTGGGCTAAAAGAGAATTTCCTCCTTCAAGGCCAACTAGTCCCAAAATTGAGATATTATCAATCAACACTCAAATTCCGTGAATATTACCTCAATCATTATATTAATCACAAACCCAACACACATAGAGTTCAATTCCTACAATCTAACACATCCTAGACTAGGGTTCACAAAATCCAAGTGAAATTGGAGACAACTCCATAGCTAGAGAAGAAAATACAAATAAGAGATATGAAAAACCCATAGCAAGATTATCTCTTCTTCTTAGATGCTTGATTCACCTTTGGAAAAGAAATCAACCTTCCTCTAGCCTTGGGTAGGTGAAACTCTCATTCCTTCTCCCATAGTTCATAGCTCTCTCTCTCTCTCTCTCTCTAAACCTTAAAGAAGAAACCCCAATCTCTCTCCAGGATTCTTCCCTTTGAATTCAACTAACTCTTCCTTTTATAAGTCCCGAGTGCACACATCACGGTCCCACATCACGCCCGTGAAGTCTACAGGGAAACCGTGATCTTAGTGCAAAACGCGTTGTTTCACTAACGAACTTCATGGGCTGCTTGTTGACATCACGGTTTGGGGACTATGATCTTGACACTGCTTGTGAACTTCAAGAATCCTCCTGGAACCATGCAATCTTCATGATTGGCATGTTGACATCACGGTCTACGCCCGTGATAAATGCTCCGCAACCGTGATCTCAGAACTTTCAGCCCTTTTGGGCATGTTTGGAGGTTGTGATTCATACAATTGATGTATTATATCAGTAAGTGCATAGTAAATATATATATTCTATCAATTGTTGTATTTGATAAATCCCTTGTTTGGTGGTATATATTGTACTTTTCACATAACTTAAAAGGTTGTGCACTTTTCAGATTGAAGGACATTATTTCCCTTCACCAACTCCTACTTCCTTTTATATCCATTCCAGTTTGGCGGGGAAGGCTTTTAGATCGGGTAAAGCAGCAACGAGAGGAAATAGAAGTGGGTTCCGACCAAATGACGGATGCATGATGGTTACACGAATCCCCGGCAACAGCCAAGAAGAAATCTCTGTAATTTGCAAGTGCAGCTCTCCTGCAACCGTTAGGATGTCACATATAGTTGGTAATCCGAATAGAAGGTTCTTCGGCTGCCTGAAATGGAGTCCAGAATAGGTGATGTCTTCGACTATGCTAGTTTCACGTCAAATTGATGCCTTGTATAAATTAGTTGTGAGGATGTATTCCTGGTGTAATTGATGTCTTATATTGTGTTGGATGGAGGTAGTGGTTTGTGTTAGTACACTTTGAGGTGTATATGTTGAAGTTGAGATGTTGCTTGAAAGGCTTCTTTCTTCTCTTTTTCACTAACAGAGGCCTTCACCGTGCAGTCGGAGATGGCCTGTCATTTCTTTGTGTGGCAAGATGTACAAATGGCAGTTGAGAAGAAGAAGCACAAGTATGAATTATTGATGTTTGGCTTGAAGATGAAGCTTGCTTGTTTGAGAGAAGAGAAGAGGGCACTTCAAGAACGCAACAATGAGCTCCAGGAAGAGGTTGTTGAACTGATGGTTGAAAGGTTACATCTGAAGCCTGATATTTGCTCAGATGAGCTTTGTATGCATAGAAAGGAGGAGTTACGCGAAATTAAAGCAAGGTTGAGTGGTCTAGATTCCAAGGTGTCTGGTTAATGTAAGCTGGTCAAGAATTAAATTGTTTTGGGATGTTTTTCTGTAAGGGTTGGGTTGTAAGTGGTGGGTTGTAAGTGATGGATTGTAAGTGGTGGGTTGTAAGTTGGTGCATACTGACTTTGTTAATGTAAAATTGCCATTGTGTAATGGTCAAGGAGTTCCATCTGTTTATTATATGTTAGACCACTACATATGTTGTTGTCCAAATAAAACCATCATTTCATTACAAGCAAAAAGTCCAACCTACTGCAGTCATTTGCATTACAAAAGGAGTTGGAAAGGAAACCGACAAATTACAAACCTACTAGTAGTTACTACTACAAACTAAACCAAATCTATCAAAATGAAATCAACAACATTTTACATTGCAACAGAAGCTGGAAACTTGCAGACAAACTAGCATTACAAATCTGCAGAAAGAAGAAAATCATAACCAGGAGCCTACTGCATTTTAAATTTAACTTCATATGCATTACTTGATGAGATGAAGGAGGAAGTTGAACCTTTCTTCGTCTGTAGGTAGTTGGTAGTACAGCCGGGCAAGCCTATCCTCCTTCATAAGAACCATGGCTGCTGAAATCACTTTGTCTAGTGATAGACCTTCCATGCTTGACAACTCCTCAAACAAGGCATCTCTCCTAATCATCAAAGGATCTTCACGGCAGAAGCTTTTAGCCATTCTCTTAATGTTTAAGGTAGTCTTCTCCATTAGAGGATGCATTTTTTCAATCTCAGTATCCACAACTTGACTGTTAGCTGCATTCTTACTAGTCTTCTGCCTCTTGCTGCTTCCTTCTCCATTGATTGTCTTGCCACGGCTAGCTCGTGTGCTGTCAAGAAAATCCCTATGATCAACACCCTCATTTATTCCACCTGCCTTGATTGAAGTAGCTCCAACATGCTCTCGATAAACACTGCATCATGAACCTTTGTCCATCTGTTGTACTACCTTAACCTCCTCACTGCAACATCCTTAAGTGATATGAATCGAGAATCCACTCAAACTTGGACCAAAACACCAGAGTTTCACACCTCGCACTATTTAGGGCTTTTCTCCTTTTTAGATAATACGAAAAATAAAGATAACTTGCAGAAATGGATCAAACAAATCCTAACTCGTGAGAAGGGCCAATTGGTATATGAAACAAATCAAACACTCTCAAACCCGTGGATAATACCAATCGATACCGTCGATGGTTGCCTCAACTAGACGCGTTCTTTAGTTGATAAGAGACAACTCAATTCTCCCAAATCTGATACGCCCCTAGGGGGTGTATGTTATCAAAGTAACGCAGTAAACAACTCAATCGAAGAATCGATTGAGCTCGAATCAAGAACAACGCGTTCTTAATACGAACTTGGATAAAACGGAACCAAAAGGACAAATCCACACCTGGGGATAGCTCGATTGGTATAAAAGGGTAGTTGCTCGACCACGATTGAAGTGACTATTCAATCGATACACAAGCTCAGCAAGGTTGGAATCCACCAAACCCAAAACAAGTCGCAACTTGCACAAAACCAAAGGTTTGTTTTTCGATTAATCAAAGTCTGAATTTTACAACGAAAATAGAAGGCTATTTATAGCCAAGAAAACCTAATACAAACCTAATAGAACTAGGAAACTAATTATTACAGAAAAGGTCTAAATAATTCGTTCAAAACAAGGTAACTTGCTGGCCAAGAAACTGACTTAAAACGCAAGCAAGTCTGCCTAGGAAAATAGGCTTCATAGCATCTTTGAGCCCTTCGAAAATGATCTTCTAAGTTGATTCGAAAATGATCTTTTGCGGCAGAAAATTTACGGATTCAAATCGACCTTCGAGCTCTTCCAACACCTTTGAAGCTTGCAGTGCGGTTGTGAACTCTTCCTGGGCCTGAAAAAACCCTTTATCCCCGATCAATTGCACCTGAAAGGGATCAGAATAGTTAGCTCGTCGTCGGAGCTCTTCTTTGCACACGAACTCCTTTGAACAAATTGGGGTTTTCGAATTGAAGCATTCCCAATCCAATTCATCAACTCCCACGTCCTCTCCAGGCCTCCGATTGAAATTTAGATCCCTTTTCCAGCCTTGATTCATCACCATTCTCGTCGAATCGACGAGTTTCCTCTTCCCGCCGTCGCCGGAATTTGAATTTCCGCAACATAGAAAAACCAAGTCGATTTTGGGGGTTTTAATTCCCAGTTGCTTCGAGACGAATTGAAGCTCTCTACAGCTTCCTGGATCCTTCCAAAACGTGTCTGAAACTTCCATTTGGTCCGAATCATCGTCGGTTGCTCCACCCACTTCAGTCGTTTCCTTGCCGTTACCAAGCTTTTGCAGAGCAGATTTAGCTAGAATGGGTTGCTTCGATTCAGAAGCATTCGATGGATTCCATTCCAGGGAAAAGCTTCCTGGTCCTCCATAGATGGTTTCGGCACCACTGGTTGGATCTGAACGACTTCCCACTTCTCCACCCAAATCCCCCTCTCTCCTGCTCTGTACCGCCGTTTCCAGAGGTATTTTGGCCTGAATCGAATTCTTCTTTTCTGCTGAATTCGACAATTCTTCTCCCCGAGAATTCGTTCTTGGGCTTTCTTGGAAGGTTTCGAATTCAATGGCTGCACTTGAATCATCCCCAGTAGCCATGACGAGATCGTCGTTCTTTACACTCTGTTTTTCTGTAAAATAGCAGTGTGGTGGCAGAGTCGTCGAGGGAGGAGCTTGATCGTCTCCAACCAGCTCTGGAGATTTATCAAGACTCTTCGTTGTTCCTCCAATGTCCAAGCACACATTTTTGGCCACATCGTGTACCGGCTTTGCTTCTACGACGTCGGCAGGACTTCCGAAGGCGGAACTCTGTTTCACATCGGAAAAGCAGAGGTCGTTGCTGGCTGTCGTTTCTGGCGTGGGAAATTCCCTCTGGAGCTTTCGAAAGCTCAGGAAATTGAATCCAATACATCTTTTAATCCATAATTGAGCCCGAGGCTCCTTTCCTTCGTTTTGATTCTCCTCTATTTGCTTCTGATCAGTGTAAACGTCGTCTGGAGAAAGAGGTTTCAGCTTGATTTTCCTACCTTTGTATCTGAATGTGTAGGAATTCTCCCAACCATTATGGGTAACCCCTCTGTCGAATTGCCAAGGTCGACCCAGTATTAGGTGAACATAATTCATCGACACAACATCACAAATTACCTCATCTTCGTAGCTGCCGAGTTGAAAACGAACCACCGCTTGCTTCGTCACATTAATTGTTCCATGCTCGTTGATCCAACTGAGTTGGTAAGGTGCTGGATGCCTTTGTGTCGTCAATCCAAGCTTTTGAACGGCGTATAGGCTGATGATGTTTGAGCAGCAACCTCCATTGATCACGAACGAAATTAACTTGCCTTCGACAAAGCATCGGCTGTGAAATAGATTATCACGCTGCTCATCGGATTCTCGATGCTTAAAAACGACTGCTGGCTGCTCCTCTTGGACACGAATTTTCATCTTCCTTGCCTCTACACTGCTCTCCACCATATTTTGGTGTAGAACCGAAAACTTCAAACACAAACAGCAGCTGCAAAGTACAAACAGGGGCTGCCCTGTTTTGGAACTCGATAAAACGGCTTATACGAAACAGCAGGTTCTTCTTCTCCTTCGCCCTTGTGTAGAACCGGGCTCTGATACCACTTGATACGCCTCTAGGGGGTGTATGTTATCAAAGTAACACAGCAAACGACTCAATCGAAGAATCGATTGAGCTCGAATCAAGAACAACGCGTTCTTAATACGAAATTGGATAAAACGGAACCAAAATGACAAATCCACACCTGGGGATAGCTCGATTGGTATAAAAGGGTAGTTGCTCGACCACGATTGAAGTGACTATTCAATCGATACACAAGCTCAGCAAGGTTGGAATCCACCAAACCCAAAACAAGTCGCAACTTGCACAAAACCAAAGGTTTGTTTTTCGATTAATCAAAGTCTGAATTTTACAACGAAAATAGAAGGCTATTTATAGCCAAGAAAACCTAATACAAACCTAATAGAACTAGGAAACTAATTAGTACAGAAAAGGTCTAAATAATTCGTTCAAAACAAGGTAACTTGCTGGCCAAGAAACTGACTTAAAACGCAAGCAAGTCTGCCTAGGAAAACAGGCTTCATAGCATCTTTGAGCCCTTCGAAAATGATCTTCTAAGTTGATTCGAATTCAACCAATTCCTTCCCTTTGTTCACAAACATACCTAGTTTCATTTTGTGGAAGCCTTTTGACTTGAATCCCATCCATGCTCCTTGAGTTTAGCTCCAAAGTAGGCTTCACAGAACAGTTTTCTGCCTTGGTCATTTTCTGGCAGTTTTCCAGTTTTGAGGTAGCAACTTTGAGGCCTTGGAAAACAACCTTACTGACATCATTTGAATCCATCAAGCATACCATTGGAAAGATGGAAACTTTATCTGCAAAACGAATCCTTAAGACTGAATTTCCATCGAGCCAATTGCGAGAACCATGCCTCCAAAGTATGTACCTTGACACTGTTCCAACACTTAACCAAATTCTGCCCTTCTTCTTCCCAACTTTGATAGCTTCTTTGTCAAGTAATTGTGACGTGAATTGTGGGCAATTTGGGATCATATAAAAAATCCTCAAAGGAGAGATTAAGCAAACATTCACAAAGGAACACGAGTAAACACTCTTTAACTTGATTTCTCAATACTAGGTACAAAATTCGTAGCTTGACTCGCTCTGACTATCACAATATCCCACCTAAGGTCCAATTATAAACCTTAGATGGGTGCAATATAGGGCAAGTATGTTTAAATATCAACCCGGGATGACCCATGTACTGCTACTTCGATTGTTTGAAACATTATCTAGCACATGGTTTTGGGGAAAACAAAGATCTAAAGCTAAAGTACTTGCGAAGAGAAATGGTTTTGACACTAATCGAGAAGGCTTCACCCGGGTGTTGCTCCCCCTAACAAGCAATTACAACTCGATGGATCGAATGGCCGTGTGTCGTGAGCGGG